TTTTCAGTTTCACAAGTAAAAATGACTCAAATTGAAATTTAAGGAGAAAGTGCTGAAGAAACCTTTTGATTAAATCTATCAGAAGGGAGAGAGCAGTGTGGCTGTTTAGCATTTGATCATAAATCCTGGTTTCTGTTGACCTTCCCAACAGGTTTATGTTTGATATATCTAATTTCCTGAAGTGTTTTCAAAGGTGCGGACATTTTGATTAAAAATCTTCTCACGAAATTTTCCGGACACCTTTTTAAGGGATCTTAAAATTAATTTAAAAAGACACTATAAGCAAAAGGCTGTTATTACAGAAACGGTTTCAGAGGAAAAAAAATCAGTACTTGTTGTTTGGATTTAGAACTTCAAAGCTAGAATTGTTCTTATAAAAGGAAAATAAAGTTTTCTTATGGTTTATCTCATTTTTTTAATAGAGTGAGATGAGATGGGGTATTTGTAATGAAAATGGTTAAGGCAACACTTTACACCACAGTAGGAGAATCTTCTTTGTCTTTAATATTTTTATTGTTAAAACACATACACACAATAGTCATATATGTGGAAAAAATTTAAACAATGCAGATGTATAAAAAGTAAAATTATTTCCACTTTCCCATTCCCTAGAGGTATCACAGTTCACATTTGGGTTTAGAATGTTTAAGACCTTTTTCTGTATGTATTTAAATATATACGTGACCACAAATACACAGAATTATATTTAAATAACAATGTGATCAGGCTGAATTTACTCTATAGTCGGAAACTTCTTTTCGTCTTTTGCTTCTTTAAAAATCATATTTATTGAGCTATAATTTAATAGTAAAATGTACCTTCAGGTGTACAGTTCAATTTGAGTAATGAGAAGCATTTATAACGTGTGTAACCGCTGCCAAAGCAAAACGCAGAACATTTCAACAGCTCCCAAGATTCTTTTTTAATAGTCACTTCCCTTTTTCTACCCCCAGCTATTGGCAGCTACTGATCTGATTTCCATTCTGTAGTTTTGTCTTTTCCAGAACGTTATCTAAATGGAACTTTTGTGATTGGCTTCTGCCACTTAGCATTGATGTTCATTTTGTTATATTTAATAATACTTGCTTTCATTTTATTGCTGAGTTGTATTTCATTTCATGAATATACTACAATTTGCTAATTCATTCACCATTGATGAACATTTGGGTCATTTCCAGCTTTTGGGCTATTATGATTAAAATTGCTATAAATATTCACACACAGGCCTTTGTGTGGACAAACGTTTTCATTTCTCTTAGGTAAATACCTAAGAATGGGTTGCTGGTCATGTGGTGTGTGGTTAAATTGATAAGAAACTGCTAAACTCTTTCCCAAAGCAGCTGTACAGTTTTGTATTTCCATTACTGATTTTGAGAATTCTGGTTGCTCTAGCATTTGGTATGTTCAGACGTTTAAATTTTAGTTATTTCAGTAGGCGTGTAGTGATAGCTCATTGTGGTTTTAATTCGCATTTCTCTAATGACTAATGGTGTTGAGAATCTTTTCAGGTGCTCATTTGCTATATGTATACCTTCTTTGGTGAAATGCCTGTTCAAATCTTTTGCCTATTTCTTAAATTGCATTCTTTATCTTGTTACTGAGTTATGAGAGTTCTTTATAAAATATCAATACAAATTCTTATCAGACAGATGTTTCGCAAATATTTTCTCCTGTTCCTAAATTTCCTTTACATTTGTTGATGGCTTCCTTTGCTGTACAGAAGCTTTTTAGTTTGAAGTAGTCTCATTGTTTAGTTTGCTTTTGTTTTGTTGCCTTTGCTTTCGTGTCAATTCCAAAAAATTCATCATCAAGACTGACGTCAAGGAGCTTACCCACTGTGTTTTCTTCTAGGAGTTTTATGATTTCAAGTCTTGCATTGAACTTCTAATCCATTTAAAGTTAATTTTGGTGTCTGGTGTAAGACAGTGATTCAGTTTCATTCTTTTGCGTATGTCTGTCCAGTCTTATTGGAGTGACTTACTGGACTGCCTGTCTTATTGGATACACTTGGAACACTTATTGGAACATCTTACATTTATAACTATTTTAAACTAATAACAACTTTTAAATTCAAATGCTATGCTTTGTTCTTTTCCTATTACGTTTTCTTTCTCTTTTTCTTCTGTTCCCTTTCTTGTGTCTCCTTTTCTTCTTTTCCCTTTCTTCTTTCTCCTCTGTTCTTTATGAATCTTTTTAAAAAATAATTTGTGTTTTATGAGCATTAGCTTTTGTTGTTGTTGTAAATCCTTCTCCTGCTCTGTTATTGGTGTTTTAACTTTGTTAACTTTTCACTCTATGAATATTTTTAATGTAGTCACATATGTTGTAGTCATTGTCTATTCTGTACCTGACCTTGATTTTTTAGTTAGGAAGGTGTTCCCCAAACACAGTCCTCTATTTGATTCCGGGTTACTTATAATTCTATCTGATTAGATGATGTAAGGTAGGGAACACATTACAGATTTTGCTCCTTTAAAGATAAACAATGGTTTCAGCACATCAATTACATATGCCATCCTTTCCCAATTGTTTTGAAATACTACCTTTATCATAAATTAAATTTTTATATATAACTGTGGCTGTTTCTGAGTGTTCTTTGTTCCATTGACCTGTTGGTCTGTTCCTGACCAGCACTACCCTTTAAATGCTTGTTTAAATACCTGTTTCTGGCTACAACAGGAAACTTCTGGAAAAAAGAGACCTGGAGATTGCTATAGAAGGTGTCAAAAGAGACGCTCAGACATTAAAACGTTTTAAAGAGATATTTAAGCAAAAATCAACCTGAATCATGGCAAACTGGAAGATTTTAGGAGCACTCCACTGACAGGAGCTTGGGGCAAGACTTTTACAAAAGCAAGGAAACTATTTGATTAGCTACAGCTCAAGTAGTTGCTTTATTTGGAAAATCCCAGTTGGTTGTTTATGATCGACTGTCTTTAGATTTTGATTTCTTAACCTTGAGGCATGTATAGGCTTAGGTTTTGGCTTGCTTATGCAGGCCACTGAGATATTAGAACCACCTTCAGTCTAATGGCCTCCTTGTTTGTTAATTTAACAAAGGTGTCTTCTCAGAGAACTCCCTTAACCACTTTATTTCTCTGTCTCAACATTTTGCAAGACTTGAGGGAGATATCTGGGGTTTCCTTGAAGAGATAAAGATACTTTAATTCTAATCTTAGGGCAAAACAAAACATGGAAGTCTGTGTGTATGGCAAAAAATAATTCAGGAGTCAGCAATGCTGTGCAAATTGGTGCTAGTGATTTAATAAATAACAAAGGATGACTCTTCTATGTTTCCATATACTCATCTACAGTTTTTGGTGTTTGCACTGAATCATCTCCTTGAGCAGAAGGCTGATGCTTCACTAGCACGTGGAAGCAGTATGACTCCACGCTGCAGTGCTCTAGGGTTAGCCCCAACCTTTAATCATGAGGAATTCAAAGGAACTAGAATTAAAGTGTATGTTGACCAAGGTTAAGTATGAGCAAAAGTCTTTATTTTTGGTAAAGTACTTCATTTGTGGATTCCCCTAGACCTGCAAATCTCTAGATATTGTACACTTAATTATTTCAGCAATGCCCCCTCATTTTGTAAGGCATATTAGGGGGAGGAACTGAGACTGAAGGATTTTCATAGCCTTTTTAACATTGGTATGGAGACATGATATACTATCAGTTAAAAGTATCATAAAATATACTTTTACATAGTGTGATGTTGTAATATAATAAGAAATACATATGTGGTCTCCATCTCTGGTTTCTGGCACAGAGCTCCTAATGTAATACAGTAAATTAACATTAGTTTTTTGTCCCTGGCAACTCTGGAGAGAAGGATAAAGTTGAATAAAGCATCTTTTGTCATTAATAACAAGACCCTCTCAACCATGCTTCCATTTATGTTAATAAGGTGACTTTTGGAAAGCCCATGAGAACTGGGTCGGGGGGGGGTGGTGGGCTGGTTTCCAAGGGAGCCAACCATGTGATTAGAGGCTTGGAACTTCCGGCTCTAGACCCTGACCTCTGGGGAGGGAGAGGTTGGAAGTTGGGTTAATCCCCAATCATCAATGATTCAACCCATCATGCCTAGGTAATAAAGCCTCCATAAAAATCCTAACTGAAAGGGTTTGGGGAGCTCCTGGACTGGTGAATGAACTGCGGTCTGGGAGGGTGCCCCACCTTGGGAGGGCACGACAGCTCTGCACCCCTTCCCCATACCTTGCCCTGTGTGTCTCTTTTACTTGTCTGCCCATCTATATCTTTGTTATATTCTTTGTACTAAACTGGCAAGTGTAAGTACCCGTTTCTCTGAGTTCTGTGAACTGTTATAGCAAATTACAGAAGTTGAAGGGGGGGGTTGTGGGAATCCTCGGTTTGTAGCCAACTCAGCCAGAAGTACAAGTGACAACCTGGGACTTGGAATTGGCGTATGAAGTGGGGGAAGGTCTCGTGGAACTGATCCCTTAATCTGTGGAGTCTGTGCTAACTCCTGGCTCTTAGTGTCAGAATCAAGTTAAATTGTAAGACATTCCAGTCCGTGTCCGCTGAGAACTGAAGAATTGCTTGGTGTGGAAAGATGCACACATTTGGTGTCAGAAGTGGTATAAGCAGAGGAAACAGTTTCCCTTTACTGAGGTAAAGCAAACTGTTTTGAATATTGCTTATCAATATACTAGTCTTTATTGCCTATAATCCTTTTATTCATGTTGAAAAGCTTCAAGAGAATTTTAGCAGATTTTTTCCTACATTTATCCACCACAGATTCTCTTAAGCTTAAAATGATCTTCTCATTAGACAGAACCACATTTTGACTCTATAGTAGCACTCTTTCTTGTAGAATAGTGGAAAAAGAGGGAAATTTTACAGTTCATTTTATAGATAATTATTGACATTTCTAGGCCTTTGGGGTATACTTTTGATGTTTAAACATGGATTTGGATGTCTTAGTCTAAATTTGTAGTAGCAAATTGCCATACAAAATCCAATGAAAACACAGTCATAGTTTTATTATAATTCTATCTGTATTATTTGTAACATATCCTTATTATTGGGATATAATTGAAGATGAAGGTGATATGATAAAGTTCTTCTTGCTTAGCACTGAGTCAAAAGCTGGTTTAAGTCTTTTTTTTGATTATCTGGAAATCTGAAATAAAATACATTATAAAATTAAATTTTATACTGGGCTAGAAAGTAAAAGACATTTGCTTTTAAGATATTACAGTTGACCCTTGAACAACAAGGGTTGGAACTGCAGGGGTCCACTTCTATGTGGATTTTTTTCAGTGGTAACTACTACAGTACTGCATGATCTGTGTCTGGTTGAATCCATCGATGCAGTACTCAGGATACAGAGGAACCAAGGGCTGGATATCAATTATATGCATATTTTTTACTTCAAGGAGGGTCCGCACCCCCAACCTCCAAGTTCTTCAAGGAGTAATTTTCCGACACTGCTTAAAACATTAAAACTATTCAAACTTGTGTAATATTTAAAAGTAAATCTTGATTTGTTTAAAAACAGTGTTTCGGTATTAGTTTATCAAGTTAGATGAAGTTACTCCTTTTGTGTCTGGAGAATTGCATTATACTTAGTATCTTGCATAATGTGGATAAATAGAAACTTTAACTTGATTTACCATACCCATTGAGATCTTCTGAGTGCTCTGAGGTTTGACATAAACCTTCCATTGTGGATCTTCTAGACTCTCCTAAAGAAAAAAAAAGAGGTATAAATTTAATGGTTTATCACAAGTACAGTTGACAGTTATTTTATTTTGAGTTTGAACATGGGAATCCCTTTTCAGGGATATCTACCCCTATCACCTGTATGATAAAAGTGAAAATATCACCTGTGTCACCAGGGAAGGTTGTGTTGGTCAAAGATGGCCTCATGATATCTCTCACTCTACATGTTCCTCAATAGTGTGACCTTACCACACCCCCTTGAAAAGGTGGAATCTAACTCCTGCCATCTTAAAATTGGGTTAGGCTTAGGACTCTTTTGTAATCAATAGCATGTGGAGGAAGTAACTACATGACTTGTGAAGCTAGATCAGAAAAGGCCATGCAGCTTCCATCTGGCTCTCTCAGGATGCTTGCTTTGGAAGAATCCAGTCACCATATAGTAAGTCCTACCACCCTGAGATTGCTATCCTGGAAAGGCCATGTACTGATGATCCAGTTGACAGTCCCAGCTGAGCCCAGCCTTCCAGCCATCCCACCAGAGCTCCAGTCTGTGAGTCAAGTTGTCTTGGTCCTTCAAACCTGCCCATCTGTCAGGTGAGTATCATCACTGGGTACCCTCAACTGATGTCTAACCAAGGCATGCTCAAATTCCTAACCCACAGAGTTACTGTGATGTATGAAATGGCACCTAGAACAGTCACTGCCTGGGAATAAGATGACTTGTTACTAATTGTCAGAAGGACAATTAACTCAGAGAGCAATATAAAGTATCCAAATGATCAAATAAGATATGGGAAGTGTGTATATAATTAGACATGTTAATTTGTTACTTAATTTTTATATCTTCCCTTCTCCTTTTGACTTGAATGCACCAGGACTTACCTAATAGGATGCTCTTTATCCTTGCTTATGATGGACCTCCAGGTCCCCGTCATTCCCTGAGTTCTACTTTTTGTAACGCTCTACACATTTCCTATTTTGTTCCCATCTACCCACCACAACTCCTGAAACATTTCCACTGTATTCTCACTCTATTTTCTGAAGTCCCCTTTACCTTCTGGATCTAACAGAAACTTGACTGTCCTTTGAGGACACTGACAGCCTAGAAGCCCTTTTTGTTTTTCTTTTCCTCAGTCCTGTTACCATTGGACTTGGAGGTCAGAGGTGTCCTCCTCCCTACTGTATCTCTTTCAGGGCATTTGCCTTCTCCTTTTCCCTTCCTAAAACTTACATTATCCGTTTATATAATCAACTATTGCTGCGATCAACCTACAACTGGTGTCATTCTCAGCTGATTTTATCATTGGCTCATTGTCACTTTCCCACCACTTTAATTTAGCAATTTAAATGTGCATGTAGAAGATTCTTTCACCCTGGGTCTCAATTCCTTGAACTCTATGCTTTTAGATCTTGTCCGTTACCTTACTGCAGCCATTAATTCCCATGCTCACTCTTAGACTTTGTCATTACCATTAACTGCAAGCCCCTCTCCAACTCAGTTTCCTGCATTCAGCTAGTTGACTGCCAGCTTTTACCCTTTCTGGATAACTCCCTCTATTACCCCAACACCAGCAATTCCTTAGCCCCACTGGAACTTCCAATTCTACCATCTTTTCATTGTTCCTCCCTATCTTGATTTCTTCTTTCCCCTCTTCATATCATTTAAATTCCATGGTCATTCATGGTTTGCATATAGGCTGACTTCTTTGTCCTTTTCTCACTTTGTTATACTCACTTGACTAGTATAACCCTAGTTAAATCCAACTGTCTGCCTAGTCCTCTCCTATATGTTAAGGCTCAGTGTGGTTGGAAAACAAACCAATGGTCCTCACTTAAAATTCACAGTCACAGAGAATGTTGTATTTTGACAGGGGCGGCACTGGATCTGTAGATTGCTTTCGGTAGTAAGGCCATTTTGATAATGTTGATTCTTCCAATCCAAGAGAACAAGGTATCTTTCCATTTCTTTGTATCATCTTCAATTTCCTTCATCAATGTTTTACAGTTTTCACAGCATAGGTAACCTCTTTGGTTAAGTTTATTTCTAGGTATTTTGTTGTTTTTGATGCAATGGAAATGTTTATGCCAGTTATAAAATTCTGGTTTTCAAAGTGAAAAAAAAAAAGTGAATGAAGGACTACAAATGGCAAAATATCCTTCTTTCTTATGGGTGAGTTGTTTTCCACTACATTTTTATGCTGCATTTCTTTATCCATTCATCTACTGATGTACACTTAGGATGCTTCCGTATCTTG